CTCAGAGAGGTAAAGGGACTTGCAAAGGTAACACAGCTTATAAGGAAAAGCTGGGCCTTCTGACTCAAGCTTCTTCTCTTTGTAATTCAATTTTGAGTTGGAGAATGCCTGAAAAAATATATTTGAAGTAGATTTCTATTTAAATAGAGTAATAACTTCCCAGCATAATTTTTAGTTTTCAAAAAGTACTCTTGAGATGTCTTTGAATAAATTATAAAATTCTATCAATTTTTAAAAACTATAGATCAGGCATTACTCAAAAGCTTTTTATTTCAGAGTTGATTTCTAAACTTTCAGCTTTCAACACAGCATCAAATAATATGAAGAATTTCCAGATCTTTTGTGATGCTTTTCATAGGAAATACATAGGAAATTTTAAAACTTTTTGTAAGTCAGCTAGCAATTATTAATACCTACTATGTGCCAGGCACTATGCTAAGCACTGGAAAAACTAAGCACTAAGAAGGGCAGAAGGCAGTCCCTGTTCTCAAGGATCTCACAGTCTGATGGGGGAGACAAGATGCAAACAACTATGTACAGAGAAGAGATAGACAGGACAAATTGGGGGTAATCTCAGAGGGAAGATAGCAAGATTAAGGAGGACTGGGAAAGGCTTTTTTTCAGGAGGTGAGACTTTAATTGACTAAATTATCATCACAACTAAATCTAATAGATTCTTCCCCTCAAAGGGCCAAAGGTGCTTTGGGACATTTGAAAGATTTATGCTCCCAAAGGGAGCTTTGTCCTTACTTGACTCTGGGGCCAATGTACTAAAAATCCCAAATCTGAAATTTAAAAATAAAAAGGAAATAAAGTGTGACAATCAGTTTTTGATAAACTTCAGATCTCTTCCTTTCTTCAACAGCAATTCTTTTAGCCTTACTTTAAGTATTCTTTTACTTTAAATGGTTTTTTTTTTCAGCTATGAGGAATTGCTGAAAAAAAAGAAGCTTTAGGATACCAAGATTACAGTGGACTTGGCCGCAGAATAGCATGGTTACTGTAATTTCTGAGATTCTAAAAAATTAATGAAGGTTGCTAAGGGTTGCAACATATTAGGATGCAGATGACTGGAAACAGTTTTTCCTTCCTTATTTTAGAGTGAAAACATTGGGGAGGAGATAGGACTTGGGGATTGTGCTAGCAGGAAATGTTTCAGAATTATAAAAATCATTTAACTTTTTTCTTATGTCTACTCATTTTAAGTACTCACCTTAGTGTTTTTTTCTTTAATTCACTAGAACCCAATTATGATGAAGCATTTAAAAGATATATAGAGAAGATCACATTACAATATTTTTCATTTTATAGGGGAAGCAGAATAAGCATTTCTATAACACTTGTGCCAGGTACTATGCTTAGTGCTTTATAAATATTATCTCATTTGATCCTCACCACAGCCTTCTATGGTAGGTGCTATTATTATACCCCTTTTACAGTTGAGACAGAAGCAAACAGAGTTTAAGTTAAATGACTTGCCCAGGATCATACAGCTAGTGTCTGAGGATGGACTTGAACTCAGGTCTTCCTGACTCCACACCCAGCACTAGCATTCTATCTATTCACAGCACTCCCCAGCTGGCTCATAGATATATTCTCCTATTGATAGGGGAACAGAAGCCCAAAGAAGTTAAGTAACTTGCCTAAGATCAAAAAACTAGTTAATGGAATAGCTGTGTCTAGACTTCTGGACTATCCCGATCTACTTCCTAATCCAGCAATGATTTTCCTGTGTCATAATAATGAAATTTTTATTGCTTGTGTCCCATTTCATATCAAATTATAGGCATACCTTAATATGGTTAACAAATGCAACGTATCCCTATTGGGCCTTCTGGTTTATTGCTAGAATTAGACTGAGCAAAAGAGAAAATATGAAAATATTAACTAGCTGTGTGATATTGGGCTAGCAGCACAACCTCTTTGGATTTCATAAAATGAGAGAAGTTAGACAAAATCAACTCAGATTCCTTCCCACTCTCAGTTTCTCTGATTTGATGTTTTTAAAAATAGGGCATCTGCTTTTCTGTAACTATTAAGTTTAGGACAGAGGAATGCTGGCAAATTAACAAGTATAGATTGTTCTTATATATTTCATCCTTCAAATATGGATCTTTAATCAATATGGACACTCTTTGCAACAGCGCAACTTGCAACCACATGGTTAGTGATTACTAAATGTTTATTGGCTGACTAGAACCCATCCATGCCTTCTCACCCTGTACAACTCCCTGAATCCTCCACAAGAAGTCTAGCCAGCATGATGGAAATCTTCCTCTACATAATTTGATATTTTGTGGGTTGTCAGTGAAGCAGGCAAGGACTGTGTGTGTGTGTGTGTAGGCATATCTATCTTGTCTATCAGTTATCCCTCAATCACACTTTCTACGTGACCTATCCATTTTAAGTAAATGCAAAGTATATAAAAAGGAAATACAAAATTATAGTGCTAGCAAGAGTGGGGAGAAACAATGATGGGGAGAGGGGATAAGGAAAGTACTTACATTGGGCTTGGCACTTGGGCTGAGTAGTGATTTCCAGAGGTGAGTGAAGAGGTCGAGTGTTCCAGGAAAGGGGAATAGGCAGCCTGTGCAGAGACATGAAGGCAGGATAGAATGGCACATACAAGAAATAGCAAATAGGCTATTTTAACCTGGAATGTAGATATATAGAGGGAAGTAATGCAAGAAATGTTTGTAAAGATAAACCTCTAAGGCATTAATATCCAAACAAAAGTGTTTGGATTTTATCCAATAAGAAAATGGATCTGCTGGAGCTTGTTGAATTGGGTTATGATAAGGTCAGACCTGTGCTTTAGGGAGATCAATTTGGCAGCCTTGTGGAAATGGATTGGATGGGTACATACCAAGGACAGGAAGACCATTTAGTCAGGAGGTTATTGCAGTATTAGAGGCAAAGAGTGATGGGTGGCCATGGAAGGGGAAAAAGGAAAGGGAGGTCTTCTTGTGTGGTCAGATCCGTTAGTTGTTAACCACTTTTCAGTTATTTTCTATCTTACCTAGGAGGTTTTGCACTGTTCCAGGACTCAATGAAATCAGCAAGTCTTCTGAAAACAAAAGCATAATTGGAGGGCCCTGACATTTATAAGGAATTCTTAGATTTGTACTCTGCAGTAGACATCCTCCATGGACAGTGGCAAGCACCCTGTTTTATGGCTTACTTGCTGTTAATAATCATGTTACCAAACTAAATTGTGTCACAGTGGATAGAATGCCGGGTCTGGAGTCAGGAAGACTTGAGTTCAAATCCAGCCTTAGATACTTATTAACTCTATGGCACTGGGCAAGTCATTTAACCTCTGTTGGCCTTAGTTTACTCATCTGTAAAATGAGGATAATAATAGCACCTACCTCCCAGGGTGGTTGTGAGGATCAAATGAGGTAATAAATGTAAAGCACTTAGTGCAGTGCTTAGCTATAAAAATGACATGACAGGTCTTCTAGACCCTTCACTGTCCTGGGCCAAAATTCTGAGAATGCACTAGTTTGTCCCTCTTAAAATATGTTGCTCAAGTCAGTAAGTACAATGGGTCTATTTTTTGCCTTACTTGTTCTGAATACCATATTGATAGTAATACCATTTTAGATTGTATTATTTAATACTGCCGTTGAAATAATTTGACAAAGGGAATTAGAAATGAGGATCATTGGGACAGTTCCAAATAACTCATAATTGAAAGTGCTGTCCATATCCAGAGAGGAAACTATGGAATCTGAATGCAGATCAAAACATACTATTCTCACTTTTTTTGTTTTTTCTTTTTCATAGTTTTTCTCTTTTGTTCTGATTCTTCTTTCACAGCATAACTGATGTAGAAATATAATTAATATGATTGTGCATGTATAACCTATATCGAGTTGCTTACTGTCTTGGGGAGGGGAGAGAGGGAAGGATTAAAATTCAGAACTCAAAAATCTTATGAAAGTGAATGTTGAAAACTATCTTTATGTGTAGTTGAAAAAAATACTATTAAGTGGAAAAAATTAAAAAATGAAAAGAAATGAGGATCATTTGAAAGGGGTTGTCCTTAATGATACCTCAAATTTACAAAGTTGTTATGAAAGCCATGATGTTTTTTACATCAACAGTTTACTTATTTTCTAAAAGTAAATTAAGTAGTCATCCAAATCTTCATTATTTTGAGGAATAGCCTGGATAACTGAAATATTAGGTCCTCTCTATTACCACTTTAATCAGTAGTTTTAATTCTTTATCTCCTTGATTTATCTGTAAGAGTTTCTTACATTTGAATTTTATCACTTTTTCCTTATTATGCTCATCTTCTTAGACTGCTGATTGGAAGTAAATGGGATAAAAAATAGAGAAGCACAAATGAGATATAAAGGACCTAGCCCAGGGATGACAATTCTTCCTCTGTGCAGAAAAGCTCAAAAGCACAGGCACACGCACTGGCCCTGTCCTTAATATTAGTGACAACTCTATTGCCTGGGTGAAATATTGGCAAATATAGCTTCCCTTCTCACTTGTACATTAGTGAAGGAACTCCACCTCATCTACTTTAGAAGTTTTCAGCTAATATGTTAATTACTTCCCCATCCTTAGGTGAACCCAGGCAGGCCGGTTTCATAATTTATCTTGAGTTCCATAGGCCATCTTTCCTGGCATATCATATAGGAAAGGATTTGTAGTTAGGCACACCTTTTTCAAAATGCCAACCCCTGGCTTCAGTGGTTAAGAAATTGGGTACTCAAGATCTTAAAGGATTGACTGAATTGTTTTTATTATATTAATTATTTGAAAATGTCACTTTTTTATTAGTTTTTGAAATAATTTGATAGACATTAAAAATGAGGTTATTTTTGATGAAGTGTACCATAAGTGCTTTTACATACTGATGATGACTGAAGTACCTTAAATTTACATAATGAGTTTTTCTATGGAGTTTAAAGTGGTCTGATTCCCTTTTCATTTATGTAAGTATAATCTCTCAGTGTACTATTTGTCTTTTTTTCCTTAAGAGAATAAATGCAAAGCTTCACGATGGAGTGTGTCAGCATTGTAAAGAAGTTCTGGAGTGGCGAGTAAAATACAGCAAGTACAAACCACTATCAAAACCCAAAAAATGGTGAGTTAACACATCTCAAGATATAGTTCATTTTAGTTCAACAAATATTTATTAAGGGCTTTCTGTGTGCCAGACACTGTGGACACAGACAAAAAAATCTACTCCTTGCCCTTAAGGAGCTTCTATCTTATGGGAGCTGGGGGGGGGGGAAGGTGCACAATAACAATATTGTGATAACAATATGTGAAGAGAAATATGAAGTGGGTACATAGAGTAAACGGAAAGTATCGTCAGAAATAGACTACTAACAATTGCAGGGGAGAGCTGGGAGTTGGGGAGGGAGAATGCTTGGGAAAGGCCTTAGATGGGAAGTGGCATTTGGGCTTAACTGAGAACAGAAGTAGGGGGATGATGTTGCTTATGAGGAGACATGAAGATAGGAAGTAGGATATCACATACAGGGAAGAGCAAGTCACCAGCAAGCATTCAGCAAGCATCCAGCAGCATTGGCTGAAATGCTAAGAACATGTTGGAGAGTAAAAGAAAATGAGTCTGGAAAGAATCATTGGATGAGACTGTTGACTGTTGACAGACGTTGATGCAACATCAGTTGTGTCAGTTCTCAAAATTTATTACTGAACCTTTAATATTGAAAAATACATTTAGAAAATGAATTCGATAAATACAAGTGGAAAATGAGAAGCCTGCTTATTCTAGGCCCCCAGACAAAGTCCATCTTCAACCCAAATCCCACTCAGTGAAGACAGACAAATCAATCAAGAAGCATTTATTAAGGGCCTACTGTAGGTCATTGTATGGCGCTTGGTCAGACTGGAAACTGGAAATGAGGAAGTTGTAACTGCTGCATTGCTTCAAGTGAATCAAAGCTTCAGATACTCAGTTTAATCAACTGTTATTTAAAAATTATATGTAGAACAGTGGAAGAAATAAAGACAAAATTTGACAGCTGTCCTTATAAGCTAATAAAAGAGATAATCCATGAATCTAAACAGCAACTGAAAATTATAAGTACAAAAGAAAGGCCCAGTTCTAAAGATGCTCTTTGAATAATTGTTGGTTAAAAATTGGTAGGGGCCTCAGATATTATGGTCCGACATGTATCTGGCTAAGAATCACTTTCAGCACTCTTGGTAAGTTGTCATGCAGCTTTTTCTTGAAGACTTCCAAGGATGAGGAATCTTCTACTTTTCAAAGCAGCCCATTACGTTTTTGGATTGTTTTAATTACTATTAGGAAGTTTTTCCTTATATCAAGCCTAAATTTTCCTGTTTGCATTTGTACCTAGTACTACCCTATGCAGCTATTCAGAGCAAGTCTATTCTTTCTTCCAGTAGCTATCATGCCTCTTCTGAATCTTTTTGTCTCCAGTCTATCACCAGTTCCTGTCAGCTTGTTTTCATATGTGACTATTTCAAAGCCCTTTATCTATCCTGATCATATTCATTTGGATGCTATCAAGCTTATGAATGTTAATCCAAAAACATGGTGCTTTTAACTAAACATTGTATTCCACACACCAGATTTGACTAGGGTGTTATCACACTCCCTCATCCTGTGAACTATCAATTTCTTGATGTAGTATAAGATTATTGTATTAGCATTTTTTACTGCCTTTTCACACTTTTGACTTGAGGCTGTAAGCCCCTAAAGCCCTATAATCTTTTTCCAAATATACTGCTGTCTAGGCTTACCTCTTGCATTTTGTACTTGAAAATTGATTTTTTTTTAAGTCAGGTATAAGAGTTTACATTATCTCCATTAAATTTCACCTTATTAGATTCAGTGTGCTGTTTTAGCTTGTCACAATCTTTTTGGATCTTAATTTTTTCATCCATTGTGTTAGCTCTCTCTTGAAGGTTTTTGTCATCTGCAAATATGAATAGACATCAGTGATAGAGTGATACAGAGCAACACAGGAACAGGCACTGATCCCTGGGAAAGTCCAGTAGATTTGTCTTTCCACTTGATTTGACTTTGAATCATTAATCACTACTTTGTAGGTCAAGCCAATTCAGCCAATTTCTTTTCTAACTAATTGTACTGTCATTTACCATTATCACTCTTATCTTGCCCACAAGAGTAGCTTGAGAGACTTTGTCAGATGTTTTGCTAAAATTTATGTAAATTGTATCTTCATCATGCACTTGATCTCCTTGCCTTGTCTGAAAGGAAAATGAGCTAAGTGTTTTTAATGAAGCTGTGCTGGCTCTTTGTGCCTACTTCTTCCTTTTTCTAAATGCTTACTATCTCTGAAATAATACATTTTAGAAATTTGATAGGAGTTGAAGGCAAGTTCACCAACCTATATGATTTGCGAATTCTATTTTTTCCCTACTCCCTTCCCCATTTTTAAAAATCCAGAAAGTTAAGGGTAGCTCGGTTCTCAGTATCACTCTACTTATCTTGGGTATCAGCTCCCTATTAATTATTTTTGTTCTATCCTTTGCAGTCCAGAGGTCATTCTCCTTAGGAGTGAAAAGGGAACAAAATAAAAATTCTGCTTGGTCAGTCCTTTTCATCATTCCATCACTTCAAGCAACAGTCTCATCTCCTTGAGGCACCTTCCCTTCTCTTTCTTCTTTAAAAAATCCAGAACCCATTTTTATTTTCCAAGACTTGCAGATACTTGTCAGAGAACCTTGTGATTGGGAGGAGAATTTTATTTTTTTCTGTGCAAAGTATTTTTATGTACCCTTCACTTGTGGTAATAACTGTTGTATCCTGTTTTCCTCTTGGATGTCTGCAGAATAATTCATAGATAGATTGAAAGTATTTCGTGTAGGCCTTTGGATTTATGATTTGCAGATGGGTCCCAGGAGTGACTTATGTTGGCTACCACAAGTCAAATCTCTATGCTTATAACTCTGACTAACATATCACTTTTGGAGTCTGGGTTTTGAGGGAATAGGTCCTAAGCTGATTCTGCCATGCAAAGAGTTAGGTATACTCCTCAGGCTTTCTACCCTAAGCAAGTCTCTCTCTTTTTTTTTTAAGTATTTTATTTTTCCCTAATTACACGTAAAAACAATTTTCAACATTTGTTTTAAAAATTGAGTTCCAGATTCTCTCCTTCCCTCCCCACCCCCACTCGTTGAGAAGGCAAGCAATTTTATATATATTATTGTGTAGTCATGTAAAACGTATTTCCTTATTAGTTATGTAAAAAAACCAAAAAAGTTTACTTTGATCTGTATTCACACTCCATCAATTCTTTTGCTGGGAAGGGATAGCATTTTTCATCATAAGTCTTTCAGAGTTGTTTTGGAGCATTGTATTGCTGAGAATAGCTAAGTCATTCACAGTTGATCATCTCATAATATTTCTGTTACTATGTACAATGTTCTGCTAGTTCTACTTATTTCATTTTGCATCAGTTAATGTAAGTCTTTCCAGGTTTTTCCGAGAGCATCTAACTCATTATTTCTTATAGCACAATAGTATTCCATCACAATCATATACCACAACTTCTTCATTCATTCCCCACTTGATGGGCATCTCCTCAATTTTCAGTTCTTCACCACCAGAAAAGAGCTGCTGTAAATATTTTTGTACATATAGGTCCTTTTCTTTTTTGTTTTTATCTCTTTTGGGATGCAGACCTACTACAGGTATTGCTGGGTCAAAGAGTATGCCTGGTTTTATAGGCCTTTGGGCATAGTTTCAAATTGCTCTACATAATGGTTGAATCAGTTCACAACTCCACCAACAGTACATTAGTGTCTCATTTTTCCCACATCACCTCCAACCTTTGTCATTTTTCTTTTCTGTCATATTAGCAAATCTAATAAGCATGAGGTGGTACCTCAGAATTATTTTAATTTGCATTTCTCCAATCAGTAGTGATTTAGAGCATTTTTTCATATAGCTATAGATAGTTTTAATTACTCTATCTGAAAGCTGACTTCATATTTTTTGATCATTTATCAGTTGGGGAATAGCTCCTATTTTTGTAAATTTGACTCATTTCTCTTTGTATTTGAGAGATGAGACCTTTCTCAGAGAAACTTGGCTTAAATTTTTTTTCACAATTGTGATTGCCAACTGTATTTCCCTCCATCCTGTTTCCCCCCTGTTTATTCTATTCTTTCTCTCTTTTCTCCCTGTCCCTCCTCAAAAATGTTTTGCTTCTGACCACCACCTCCCCCAATCTGCCCTCCCTTCTATGAGCACCCTCTCCCTTCCCTTATCCCCTCCCCCTCCTACTTTCCTGTAGGGTACCCAGTTGAGTGTGTATGTTATTCTCTCTTTGAGCCAGTTCTTATGAGAGTAAGGTTCAAGTGTTCCCCATCACTTCCCCCATCTTCCTCTCCACTATAAAAGCTCTCTTGCCTCTTTTATGTGAGATAATTTACCCAATTCTACCTCTCCTCTTCTCCCAGTGCATTCTTCTTTCTCATCCCTTAATATTATTTTTTTAGATATCATCTCGTTATTTTCAACGCAGACCTGTGCCCTGTGTTTATATATACTCTTTCAAACTGCCCTAATAATGAAAAAGTTCTTGTTAGTTACAAGTTTCATCTTCCCATGTAGTAATGTAAATAGTTTAACCTTATTAAGTCCTTTATGATTTTCATTTTCTGTTTACCTTTTTATACTTCTCTTGAGTCCTATATTTGAAAGTCAAATTTCCTATTCAGCCCTGGTCTTTTCATTAGGAATACTTGAAAGTCCTTTGTGTCATTGTATATCTGTTTTTTCCCCTGAAGGATTATACTCAGTTTTGCTGGGTAGGTGATTCTTGGTTGTAATCCTAGCTCCTTTGCCCTCCAGTATTGTAATCCTAGCTCCTTTGCCCTCCGGTATATCATATTCCAAGGCCTCTGATCCTTTAATGTAGAACCTGCTAAACCTTGCGTTATCCTGACTATGGCTCTATGATACTTGAATTATTTCTTTCTAGTTACTTGCAATATTTTCTTCTTGGTGTAGGAACTCTGAAATTTGACTATAAATTCTTGGCATTTTTCATTTTGGGATCTCTTTCAGGAGGTGATCAGTGGATTCTTTCATTTTTTATTTTACCTTCTGTTTCTAGA